CCCCCCCCCCCCGCCATCTCCTCCGCCGCCTCCTCTACGGCACCGCCTCAACCACCACCAACAATCCCAACCCAGGTACAATCTCCGGTCTCAACTCCTCTTCTGCATTCACAGTTCACTGTTTGCATAATGCCATCATCCCTTTCATTATTGCAAGCCAAATTCTTGCACAATCCAAAATCTGAAAGCTTGACATGTCCATTCCTGCCTAGTAACATGTTATCTGGCTTGATATCTCTGTAAATTTTCACAACACAAGGCCAGGTCAGTACATCAAAAATATTGACAAAATCAAAGATAAATGAAAATTTTCGAACAAACACTGACCTGTGGGCATAATTGCTTTTGTGTATAGCTTCAATGCCAAGAACTGCCTCCGCGATGTAAAATCTAGCCTCATCCTCAGTCAATATATCCTTTTTCATGAGCAAAGTCATTAGATCACCACCCGGTAAATACTCCATGATAAGGTACAGGAAATCTTTGTCTTGGAACGAAGAATAGAGTTTGACGATATAATTGCTGTTAACTTGAGCTAGAACAAGGAAATCTTTGTCTTGGAACGAAGAATAGAGTTTGACGATATAATTGCTGTTAACTTGAGCTAGAACAAATGGCAAACACAATGTGGGAGGATGGGACAAACGTAGCCCAAGGAGTCTAGAGCAAAGTGATATGCCGGTAGATTATATTTGTAATAATTAAGATTTAAGTTACCGACTGAGACTTTATTTGTAATAATTGAGACTTTATCATCATTATTGTAATTAGATGTATGAATGATTAAATAATTATTGCAATTAAAAATTTGTTAATCTAGCATAATAGTTAAAATAAACATCGAAAGATTGATTAATATTAATATTATTATATTATTTTTAATATTTTATATTAAAATAAAATTAATAATATTTTATATTATAACTATTATTTATTTAATCATTTGATGTTATATCAAGTTAAACTTGAATATAATTGAGTTATAAATATAATATTATAAAAAGATGTCATACTAAAATTGTCCCACTCAAATTATCCCATTACCCCATTTTACCCCCACTTTATCCCACTCAATTATCCCATTGGGTAAAATTACCCCATTGGAACAATTTACCCCAAATTACAATTATCCCATTGGGTAAAATTACCCCATTGGAACAATTTACCCCAAATTACACCAAATTACACCAACGAATAACCCTGGGTAAAATTACCCCATTGGAACAATTTACCCCAAATTACACCAAATTACACCAACGAATAACCCCCCTAAGAAACGTGCATTTCAAATTCCACCCACTTCTATGGAATTAATCAAGTCAAGACCCGACACGCCTGTTCTCTAATTCGTTTCGAAGTCCCGACCTCCACTCTCCTGTTCTCTCTCGATCGCAGGTGATCCCCCCACCCCTTACCACGGAAACCCTAGATTTGATCTAGGGTTACCGTCGAAACCCTAGAGTTGATCTAGGGTTTAGGTCGTGATCTTCGCGGCTAAAACCCTATATCAAAGCTAGTACTCTCGATGTGACCTCCCTTGATGGTGGTTTATGTTATCCGAATGTTATTTTAACCAATTATTTCAAATTTTTTGGTTATTCCATCATGAATATGCATTAGGGCTTGGTGGTTTTGATGGATTCTTAGCTAATTCGAGCAAGGAGAGCTTCTCTCATCTCAAAGGCCACGACCTTTTTTTTTCTTTTCTTTTTTTCCGCTTTATTGAGAAATTTTTCTTTTCATTTTATTGTGATTCTAGTTTACTTTTTTGACTGTGATAGGCAAACCCATTTTTAATTTGCGCTGTAGCTAGGCGGTTAATTACTGTGTTCAAATAAAAGAAAGAAATTATTGGTTGTAAATAAGATGGATATATATTAGATTTTTCTGTGTAGGAGAGCTTTGATTTGCTTGCAGTAGACCTTATACGTGACTTTTATTTTGTATACACATATAGGTATGTGTAGTATTTGTAACATGCCTATTTTAAAACTTTAGTTTGACAGTAAATATAATGTATATATTGATGCGTAGTTGACTCAAGCCCTACATTCGATCCGAAGACTTGAAAAATTTAGGTTCTAAGTGCACTCAAGAGAACAGGTACATAAATGATCCCTTGAATTTAGAGTCTGAAATGGAGGTAGAACAGAATTAATTATTTTTACATGTTTTTCTGATATCCGTTTTATGTTCATATATATTTTCTCTTATTTGATCCATATTCATATTTGAGATATCTATATATGTTTATATCAAATCACATCTGATCGGTTATACCCCTGACTGGGACGCACATGCAGTTTGATCTTTGGTTTTGGGTTCAGCACTTCATTAGGACAGTGAGGTAGTGTCCAAAGCACCAGGCTTATCTACCATAAATATAGGAAAATGAAGAGGAAACCTCTCAAGCAAAGCCTCATGTAACAGGTGTCCCCAATTGGACCTTAATAAAACTCAATAGTTCCAATTTATCTATCATTTCATTATTTACTATATATGTTTAGCATCTCATCCCCATGTAGCGTGGCTGTGGGTGACGTCAATGATCCTCTAGAGAATTTTCAAGATGATGGATATAGACCGGGATGTCAAAAGATTCATTCTTGACGATAATATCAGTGTAAACATCGTCCTTAAAGATATTGTGTACGTACAAGAGGGTGAATGAGCCGACAATATAGAATGATAAACGAGAAACTTGAAGGTTTCTTGTGACCTCCCTTGTCTAATGTTCGCATGAATCTATAAGCAGTTGCATCAATTTGAAAATTTTGAGAACGTGGTCACTCGAGAGGATGTCATCGAACGTCATGATACTCAAGACATCATTATACCCAAGAAGCCATTTTTATAATTTTTGAAGATGCAGCATCATGGCATTCATCCGACTGAATTAACAGGTCTGTCAGACTTGTGGTGAAGAAGAGAAAGCATTGAGATTCAGTAGGTAATTTCATTGTACTATATAGCTAAAGGAATATTTGAAGGAGGTGAGGTTATTGGGAGCTCTTTGGTAACAATGTATGTAAAGCGTGAATTTTTTTAATGCTAAACTAGTTGTCAATATCAAGCCAAAGCAAAATATAGCCCCATGGAGTTTGATGATCTCTAGCTATGTACGTTGCAAAGAAAACTCTATTCTAGCAGATGAAGAGGCTATTATAGTATTATGTGATAACAATTTACAAGGGGCTTGCTTGTCAAAAAATGGATGTTAGGGGTTTTTTAGAAGAGTGGTAAAACTTAGGGGCTCTTTAGTAGGGGGTATTATGTGGTCCAGATGTATCAGCACTGATCCGACTAGCATCTGAAACAAATCTGGATAGGGTTGTGAAAAGTTGAAACCTAGCCAGATGTGGATAGAGTTTTAGATATGGTTTCGAAAAAATATCTGGATATGGTTTGTAATCCGGATATCGGATCCAAATGTCAATTACGGTTTGGATATCCAGATTTTTTACTATAAACATAACTTAATTGGTTTTGGTATATTCTCATGAAACCCTATTTCCATACCTGACCCAACCCGTTTCAAAAATAACCTCAAATCTAAGTCCAGAGAGCCGAGACTCGATCTCGGAGTTCGATTCCTCGGCTCGCTTCTCCCCCAAATCACAGTCATCGAACCTTGGCTCACTAGCCAATGATCTCCAACGCTTCCCCTCCTCAGCCATCATCAATCAACAAGGGGAACTCGAAACCCTAACTTGATTGGTAAAAAGACCCACTAGCCCTAATTTCTTTGAATTCTTATCTTTTTTCATTTTTTGGTTGTATCATTATATTTTTTTAGGAAGTTGAATTTCATTCATAGTTATCAGATATGATGCGTAATCCCTAGATTTTGACAAATTTGATAAAATTAAAAAGAAAATTGTTGATGGAAAAGAGGAAGCCACGAGCGAAATGCAAACATTGCCCATTTGAGTGTGATAGAAGTAGTTTTAGGGGTACTATACACCTTAAAAATCACATTGCAAATGCCCTAAAAAGATATTTTTGTCATTTCTGATTGATATCCGGTCTATATATGTTTTCCATAAATCCAATTAATATCTATGATTGTATCCGTATCCGATTCTGTAATATCCGAACCATGTCTGTTTCCATTTAGTGCGGATATGGTCATTACTTATCTTACCGTTAAATCTCTGCATTCGTATCTGTTTTTAGAAAGTGGATATGAGTATGAGAAGTGTTGTATCCAAACCGTATCCGAATGGAATGCAACCCTAGACTTTAGACTACTTTCTCCTCTTTTGACAAATTTACCCCTCTTTAAGTTAAAGATAACTAACAAGGGCTAATGGAGAAGACGGAAATAAAAGTTGGGGGCTTCTTTGTCAAACAAAAAGATAGCGACTTCTTAGAAAAAAGGGTAAAAGTTAGGAGCCTTTTAGAATACCTTCTTGATATTTAGCCTTTCTCTTGCTTCTTCCTCTTCTTCATCTATCCAACTCCATCACAACCCATCAATCACTCTGCTTACGGATCTTTCAATCTCTCTAGATCTCGATCTCGATCTTGATCTATCAATCAAATCAAATGATTTATTCCCCTAATTTACAGTAAATCATGAAATTTAAACTGAGTCTCATGAGCTCCCTTTTGCAATTTTTAATTTCAAATAATTCATAATTCTGTAATGTCAATTAATTTTTATTGCATGTGCTTTCAATGAGTTAAAATGCCCTATATTTCTCTTTAACAATTTGTTTTTATTTAATCAAATGGTTGTCTGTGTATTTGAAAATCTATTGCAGAACATATATGATTGTTGTTGATACCGTTTGTAAAGTAATTAGTATTATACTATTTTTTACTAAACAAAAGATATTTTGTGAATAATTACTTATATTTTAAGTATTTTTTCTGTATTTGTCATACATTTAATTTCTATTATTTTTTACTCGTTAGCAATGTATACAAAAACTTATTTAATGTATGGCTAGCAAATGATTCTTCTTCTATATCATGGAGGATTATGTCCACTGATATGTCTTCTGCTCATGTGGTTATTTTTCTGTTAGGCCTTCTCATGGGAATTAGCAAGACCGAAGTGAATCTAAGAAGGCTTCTTACTGCTGCTCCTCAGCAAAAGAATCAGACAAAGCTTGTACATGTGAGTGGTACTCATGTAATTATCATTTGCTATCATGACACTTTAAGTTCACTGTAACTAAAGCAATCAAGGCTACGGTGATGGTCCCTAAGTTACGAATTGCAACAAACCAGCTAAAATTGTTTGCTATGAAGCTATGTTCCTTGGGTACTTCTACCTTGAAGCCATATCCATACCCTACCCGTACCCTAACTCCGTGGACACTCCTTACATATGTGCATACATTTATTCGAGCATGTACTATACTCAATTTAACAGTACATATTTTAATTTAGAGCACTTGCCAAACACTTTCTTTATGTAAATCCTATATTAAAAACTAAGATTTTAGTGGTCATTTAGGTGTCTAGTTAAAAAGAAAAAGAGCATTTTTACAATTTATAATCTACGATAAAAGAAACATAGAAGTGTTGTTGGAATTTTAATTCTCATAACATGTGCATAAACAAGATTATTGATCTCATGCTATTAATTAAAATGTATAATATATGCATATATACATATTTATATACTCGTGTCTCCATACCCTACCTTTTAGAAATTTTTCGTGTCTCGTATCTGTACTCATATTTGTACCAGTATGCATACCTGTACGGTTGTACCTATGGAACATAGCTGTGAATTGATGTCATGGATCCAATGTTCCAAATGTTTCAGTAAAAACTTTTAGTATAGGAATGGTGCCAGCATCACTAATTGCTGAACATGCAGAAATTAGTAACAAAGACGGAAAATACCCTAGGTATATACTTATATTCAGGGCAAGTAATTTAGGCAACGTCATATGATATAACTAAGCAACTTCACTTGCTTATCTTTCTCTTGGTTATATTGACAATTTAGAGGTGTTTTTCTTTCTTACGTCCGTATTGGTTACAAACAAAAATAATATGAAAAATTGGGGTTTCTTCTTCTTGGTGTTTGTATAGAGACTAAGAGAAGGAACGCCAAAACTACGGTCCTAGAATTTTCAAACCTGTCTACTGCAGATGGATGAGAACTATTTTCATATTGCTGGACCTTAAATAGGTGATATATTTTTTTGTTCTTTCCGGATCAACTATACCACCTGATGCTGGCCGAAAAAGATAGTTCCTCTTCATGACTGGAATATGCTATTCCTGCCATATTTTTTCTCAACTTACTCCCAGAGGTATTTTTTTCTTCAACTTCTTCCTGTAATAAGGTTTTCTGCATCCAAATAAAAAAGGAGAAGAAAATTCCTTCATTTTCGAAACAGCCATTTCTAATTGATACACCTCATTTGTTCCATATTATCAAGATATGAAGCAAAATTTGGATTTGACATGTGAGACGATACTGGAAATATACATCAAAAGAAATTATGGGAAGTATGATTAAAGTAAATGAAACATTGGTACTTGGTTTGCCTCCCTCCAAACCAAAAAAAAGGGGAGAAAAGGGAAAAAAAGAGTACCTTAGAGGAAATAATGGCAACTTCAAACAGGAAATATTCTCTAGCATGTGTTGGAAATGACCAAAGAAAAAGGAATTGTGCACAGGTGCCCGCTACAAGTTAGAATCTTCATTCTAAGATCAAATGGGATGTGTCATCTCATGTATACCAGGAATTTTTCTTAATTGATTTGTTCAGCCTCAAGTTGTTTCCTAGGAAGTTACTTTCTGTTTATAGAGCACTGCAGCAGAAGCACTTTACTTTTAAAGCAAGTTTAAGCCACAATTTCGTACCCTAATAGCTTTTATCCACTCTCTTTACTTATATATAAACATGGTTGCATTTTTGTGCACAGATGACAGAGGTGAGAGACATGTAAACAAATTTTCAGATGTAATCAGATAACTTATACCTTACACTTTCTTTAACTCATCCAGTTGTTATACATGTTGATGGGACACATACATTTTCATAACATAGTATGTAAGAGATTTGAAAATTGTAATGTTTTATGAACATTTTTTAGTGTACATCTATCTATTTCAAGATCTATGATTCAAACATGTTGCTAGTACTTCATAGAGATTCAAATGTTGCAAGTCCTATAACCTTTACACTGCTTTAGTTGACTGCATTGCATATACCAAGTGTTCTGCATGTTTTCCTTGCAGTATGTTACCACATTACGAGAGCTTCTGGAGCAGCTTGGAGCAGAAACTACTTCGGAGGGAATTTCAAGGTGTGATCTACTACTTCATTTATGTATTCACACTCTATTTTACTGGCATTTGAGGCATGCAGGGCGTGAGTTTAGGTTATAGGAGGTTCTAGACTTAAAACCGGACTATGGATTTGTTGTGGCATTGCAGACCTGCTTGATTCGAGGATTTAGTGGATGGTTATGTAACAAATTCAAAACTTTGCGAACTAGCATTTCAGATGCTGCATTTTTATCTGGTTATGCTACAAATCTGATGTCAGTGATTTTTAAGGAAGTAAGGCATATTGTACTCTTAGAAAATGTGTCCTTTATGATCAATAATCTTATGCTATTGGTGCATTTCACTGAGGACAATACTTGGGATAGTTTTAAGTATTTGGGCAGGTATTAATGGGTGTACGCATGATTATATAATAATTTCTTCTATAAGACGACTTGTTATCTTATCTTACATTCATAGGACAAAATTATTTTTGGGTACAAAAATAAACACAAACTTTGAAGGTTGAATTATTCATACCCTCCTCATAATCACATTGATTATGCAAGTTGTATCGGTACTCAAGTTTGTGAAATATATTTTTGTGCCATGTGAAATTTTGTATTGCAAGCCTCTTTTTATTTTTTGTTTTGCTTTTTGTGTAACTGCAATTTTTGTATGACTGCAGCATTTCAAAAGCAAAGCTGAGTGAATATTCTGAGAAGATTGAAGCTCTTGCTGCAAAATTAGCTTCCTCACTGGTATTCTTCTATTCAAATTGGACAAACTGAGCTTCTTTTTTGGTTGTTCCAGAATGTATAACAGTGGAACAAATACTGAACTTGAGTACTATTAAGATGATCAGTTGCTATCAGATAGGAGTTAGCTTCCAGTGTACTGAGCATGCAGGATTCGTGACGATGTTGTGAACATGAATCATGATGCCAGTTAGACAAATACAGGCTATTCTGTCTAATTCCAGAGGAAAGAGCAAGAACTTTAGACTTCAAAAAAAAAAAAAGGAGAGAGAGAGAGATTCCGTTAGCTTTACGTAGCTTTCTCCTCACATTAACATGTACAAGAAACATAAACATAAACATGAATTAATATAACCTTGTTGGTCTCTGAAATCCAAACTTGATACGAGTCGTCGTGTGAGCACCTTTGATCGCGGAATTATCAAAGGTGAGTTGAGAAGATGATGACAGAAACACAAGAATAATTCAGTATGTGACGAAGGAAAATACCCTCTAGATTATGATATGAAAAGATTACAATCTCTCTCACAATCTCACTAGAATCGAGAACAAACTCTCAATTCTCTCTAAACCTATGAAAAGATTACAATCTCTCTCACAATCTCACTAGAATCGAGAACAAACTCTCAATTCTCTCTAAACCCTAATCTCTCTTGATTAGAATCTCTTTTTGATTACATCTGATTGATTAGAAATCCTAAATAATTCCTTATATAGGTGTAACAATATGGATGGCAAAGTGATAAATAACCAAACCCAAACCTCACAGGAATTCGTGCAAACAGAAACCCAAACAAACCAGGAAACCATTGATGAGTCGACTCATGTGCATATATGAGTCGACTCATGACACATGGGTCGACTCATGACTGGCATGAGTCGACTGGTCAAAAACTTTTGACAAAACGGCTGAGTTTCGTGAGTCAACTCATGACAGGCATGAGTCGACTCAACCTGATGAGTCGACTCATGTACATGTATGAGTCGACTCACGGGCTAAAAACTGGATGTTTCGATTCTTCGATTCGTCGTCTCGTTCCACGCTTCAATCTGCGTTTCACTGTGTTGTTTTACACCTCTATTCTCAAGTTATCATGGGAATCATTTATCCTCGAGCTCCCATGAGGATCGCTAAGTTTCGAATAGAAGATACACCCGTATCATGAGTCCCCTTTAGGAACTTGAAGTCCCATTTAAGTTAGAACTTCAGCCGAAGAAACTCGCGAGCTCCTCCATCCTTCTGTACCACCTGACCTTGCTAGGAACCTGATATCGACGTACAACTGGAAACGACTCCATCGTTCCTCGCTTTATCGTAGTCGTCTTCCGCTCTAACATGCAACTCCTTTTCGATGGCTCGTCATGAAGTCTAATACACAGCGAGACAAACTTCTTGCTTGCATTCACTAGCATCTTCGCTCGCGTCACCGTCGCCAAGTTTGCCTCTCTCGGAAGAGACGCCGAACGAAATATGAACTTTTCACCATCCTTGGTGAATGTATACTTCTGAGCCCGCCTTTCGTAGATCACGTATCTATCCTACAAGTACGGATTACCCAGTATCACCTGACAAACATCCAATGGAACGACGTCGCACATGATCTCGTTAATATATGACTCGTGGAGCGCAAATCTGATAGTGTATTGATTAGCTACACTTAGTCCCGTTTCCTTCTGAATCCATCCCAATGGATAGGGTTTCGGATGCTTGACTGTCTTCAGACCCAGCTTCTGAACCAAAGTCTCGGATATCAAATTCTTTTCGCTGTCTGGATCAACAATGGCATCAACTAAACTGGTCTTCACTTGTAATTTCAGCACAAAGAGCTGCTCTCGGGGGTCTTCGTCCTCTTTCGTGGCCTGTTTTTCTGTCATAAGATTGAGGCTATTGTTAGGTTCTGTCATCCCAGTAACTTCCTTCAGACCCTGTGCTATAACGTATGTTTTTTTCTTCTCTTTCTTCTTTAACCCCTTTGGTTTCAGATGATGATACTTCTCCCAGCATCGATCAGCGATATATCCTGTCTTCTCGTAGTGACTACAAATCAGTTTTGCTCTTCCTGGATCACCCTTCTTCTTCTCCTTATGTTTGAAACCACTAGACTCACCTCCCGTCTGTTTTGCATCTTTTGCCTCATTGCTCTTCTTTTGTTTGCCCTCGATGACAATAGCTTTCACGCTTGTCTCTGCAATAGACTCGACCGTGAATAGCTTCATCTCCTTCCGGATGTATTTGTTCAGACCTGTCATGTACTTCATGAAGATGGAGTATTCGTCCATCGTGACATTTAGAACCATCACCTGCTGCTGGAACTCCGTTGTGTACTCTTGAACGATCTGATTGAATATTTGGTACAAGCCGTACCATTTGTACCAACGCTCCTTAAGGAACCCCACTGGATTGAATTGTTTTCTCAGTAGCTTCTTAAACTTGTTCCACGACATTGCCTTCTTCTCCTGCTTGCAGTAGGATTTCCACCACGTCAACGCATGTCCTGAAAGCTTCAAAGTCGTGAATACAATCTTTTCTTTGGATGAATATCCATAGAGAGTGAAATACATTTTCATACGCTTGATCCAATCATCGAGCTTCTCCACATTGACACTCCCATCATAAACATGAATCTCTATCTTGAAATTAATTTTTAAATTTTGGTAGTAATTTTTACGCTCTTGATGCGGAACAGTTTTGACAGTCCCGACCTCCCTATCAGAATCAGATTCCTCACCTTCTCTATCGGACTCTACAAGTTTCTTCTTGTCTTTCGAAGAAGATTCTTCATTTTTATCATTTTCTTGGAAGATATTGACGAGCTGTGTGAGAGTCGAACTCATTGTTTCCATCCGTTTCTCCAATGTATCTAGCCTCGCTGAACTATCTCCTTCAGTCATCTTCTCCTTCCTTTCTGGACTCCTTCCAATGAAATAAGGATCTCGCCTAGCTTTTTGTATTCCGATCGAGTCAAGACCATACACAGGATGCCCCCTTCATAGGATCTTATCGCTTTAATACCAACTTGATACGAGTCGTTGTGCGAGCACATTTGATTGCGGAATTATCAAAGGTGGGTTGAGAAGAGGATGACAGAAACACAAGAATAATTCAGTATGTGGCGAAGGAAAATACCCTCTCTAGATTATGATATGAAAAGATTACAATCCCTCTCTCACAATCTCACTAGAATCGAGAACAAACTCTCAATTATCTCTAAATCCTAATATCTCTTGATTATAATCTCTATTTAATTATATCTGATTGATTAGAAACCCTAAACAATCCCTTATATAGGTGTAACAACGTGGATGGCAAAGTAGTAAATAACCAAACCCAAACTCCACAGGAATTCATGCAAACAGAAACCCAAACGAATTAGGAAACCATCGATGAGTCGACTCATGTGCATATATGAGTCGACTCATGACACATGAGTTGACTCATGACAGGCATGAGTCGACTGGTCAGAAATTTTTGACAAAACGGCTGGGTTTTGTGAGTCGACTCATGACAGACATGAGTCGACTCAACCTGATGAGTCGACTCATGTACATGTATGAGTCGACTCACATGCTGAAAACTGGATGTTTCGATTCTTCGATTCGCCATCTCGTTCCACGCTTCAACCTGTGTTCTACTGTGTTGTTTTACACCTCTATTCTTAAGTTATCATGAGAATCATCTATTCTCAAGCTCCCATGAGGATCGCTAAGTTCTGAAGAGAAGATACACCTGTATCAAAACTGTACCACCCTCCCCATATTTTGTGTTCTACTCTAGAATTAATATGCCTTATTGATACTTCTTTTTATTGACTTTGTCAAGGTTGTTTTTTACCTATAACTTCATCTCTAATTAAATCATGCCTAAATCACCCTTTTATGTTTATCTAGTGGACGAATTTTCGAAGGATTTCAGATGCATTCAAGTAACTTATAATGAAACTTGTACAAGCAATATCCTCAACTAGAGGCAAAACATGCTGAAGAGGAACTTTTAAAGGAACATAAGTCATTATTTTTTTATTCAAGCATAACAGTTATTGAAGCTACTTATGTAAATACTTGCATAAATTTGTAAACACATAATCATAAATTTTGGGAACTGTTCACCCTTCACTGGCACAAGTAAATAAACTTGCGTTAAGTGTAGACATATTTCTCATATCTCCACTTTGACTTGCTAGTCACCATCGAAAGGATACATGTTTCTAAATAATGTAATTTTATACAAATGAGAACAATTGTAGAGGAGATAAATATTTTAATCAAAATATGAGTTTGTAGGCCTTGTTCTGCACACTCTAAAGTAGAAGTTCCTCTCGCTTGGGTAGGAACATTTTACTTTCTGAACCATCTTGAACCCTGTTCAAAAGACGATAGCGTATTCAATAACCCGTCAATAAAATATCTTCGAAAACATGAGCTCTTAGATTCTGCTTTGAAACATGATTCTTTTATTGTTTTAGCATTTAAATCTTTTAGGAAAAAGGAAGGTTGAAAGATAGAAACAATTTTAGTCTTTAAATATTTTGCAGATACAGGGGGTTTTAGTGTTTAATTTGAAATGAAGAAATGAAAGAAGCACACATCTTTTCATTAAATTTAGTGAACAACTATTACTGGACTGATCAGCATGTCTTCTCTTGCATCATCTTGGAGTAGAAAGATGGTTTAGGAGCTAACATCCTGAATAATTACTTAAAAATGTTCATGACTGTAATTTAAGTTGTTTACAATGATTATGGATGTCTTCTATTGAAGATTGTGATTCAATTATATTACTGCCTTTATTTTTCAGTTAAAACATTAACCAATTTCACAAATCCATCAGCCTGAACCTGTGGAAGCTGTTGATGAATCATCTTCCCAGAAAAGCCCTTCGAGAACGGAACAAGATAGCAGTCATGCACATAATTCTCCTAGTTTGAGGAGGAGACCCGTGTAAGTAAAGCTCTATTACTTGCGGAAAAGTTCTTGATTCTGTATTCTATATCTACCAATCATTTTCACTCTAGCATATGTCAAGTGGATTGACTGTTTAATTTGGAATTGATAGAGCTCGGACAGAAACTAAAGATGCCATTCATGGCCCTGCAGAGAGGGATTTAACAATGCCTGTCAAACTAGATGTTTCAGCACAAGCCCACATTGAGAAGCATAGGTAAATGCCTGCACCGACAAATCTCCAATATGAAAGGACATGTTATTCCTCTCATATCAGATTTAACTCTCAATATATAAAGCAAGTGAAATTAGGATCATATAGTTCATATGAAACAAATGGATATTAGAGCTTGTGTGTGTGTCTTATTTTGAACCCAAGTGCTTGATATTGTTATTGCACATTGGTGGCCCAGTTTTTTAGCATTGCAGTTCTGCATAATCTTGTCCCTTGTGTGACGGCTGTGATAATTAGTTTTGCTTCTATCAGAATTTCTAGCAGCATCATCCCATAATATTAAATTGCTGCGTCATCTACTATTTTTTTGACCTTTTGTTTTCAACAGAAAGCTTCAGGAGGATTTGACGGATGAAATGGTTGTGTTGGCACGACAGCTCAAGGAAAGCAGTCTTATGATGAACCAGTCTTTGAATGACACTGAAAAGGTAGTGACTGCTCTTGTTCTACTTACTTATTTGAAATGAATGCCACACAGTATCATAACCATCAACCCTTATATTTAAGTTGGTTCCAGGCTTTAAAAAGGCTTGTTTTCAACTCAATTGATTTGGCCTCACGAATCCTTTGCCAGTCCGTTTATGTTAAGGGGGAGAAATACATCTCTACACATAAAAAGAGTAGGGAGCTAGGATCTCAGCTCTGTTCCTTTTTTAGCTTTTTCTTCTTGACGTTTAAGTGTGATATGACACATAAAGACAAGGTCAGAGGGGGGTGAATGTGGGAGATCATCTCCGTGAATTTCATGACTTTTTATGCGTGCTATGACAACACATCAAGACAGGTCCGAGAGGTAGTCTTGATATGTTTCTCGCTGTCATCAGAGTTGGAGGGCAATACGAGACATGAATCACCTCAGGAGGCCTAACGTTGCAGAAGCTTTATGACGGCTGAAGGCTTGAAGCGTAGGGAGACGGGATAAATTCTAGTTAATACATGGTATGAGCTACAGGAATACGGCGCATTTGTAGAAGATTGCATCTTGCAATTGTAAAAATTGTTGTGCTAGCATTAGCTTAAACTGTGACCTAATCGCATGTCCTAGTTGTAGTTGTTTTCTCCTCCATCTTGACTCTCTGGCACCTAAGGTGATGCGGTCTTGCACAGGTCAACGAAGACATTTTAGCTCCTGATTAGTAGAATTTTAAAAAAGTTGAAATTACATACTGTCCTTACGAAACCACAACATCTAAGAGATAAAAGTGATTCACTGTAGTACAAATTGCTAAATAAAGGCAAGGGAATGGATCAATATGTAGTAGCTGATTATAAACTTTCTTATACCTACTTGTTAAGATTTTTATTTTAATTTTGGACGAGCTTGTTTCTTTTCTTCATCAATTACGAGCTGCTTTCGTTTCTATTCTGATAATAAAATGCAACCATTATGGCGCAGATACTTGATTCTACGGAGAAAGCTGTAGAGCATAGCTTGGCAAGCACCGGTCGAGCCAACGCAAGAGCGGTGGAGATATATTCAGAAAGTACCAAGACGACATGCTTCACATGGCTCATTATATTAGCTATGACATGTATCTTCGTGATGGTGGTTTTGCTTATTCGTGTTACATAACATTACTCTGTTGCATAGTGTTTAAATGACGGTCAGTCAAATCACATGTATTGTTGACGAAATGTGTTCTTGTGAAAAATTGCTTTTGGTTGCAAAAAACTTGGGACTGTGTAGAGAACTTGATAGGTCCGCTGGTAATTCGCCTCTTGAGACGCATTACTTTGGTGTGTGCTACTTTGATGACGCATCTACTCTTTACGAGAGTGACGACTAATTGCAAAAATTTATTTGGGGTTTTCTGCTTTATTAGGCTGACGAAGCCGCATCCGACATGAGTTACGTAACTCTTTTATCGGGTGACTGGGAAATCGTGGTCGGCTGGGGCTGTAGCTAGGGAACCACCAAAGTTGAATGCCTGCCTTTCCAACCGAGCACCCTGCTTGTGGTAAGTTACATAACTCTTGCTTCACAAATTCATTTCAGAATCCACGAAGCATCGAACATCAAGCATAGGCTCATGGCAATATGAACTGGTTTAAGCCAGAATCAATCTCAAAATGACGAAAAGATCACATTCAGAAATTGTTAAAAAAATAAACCAGTGAATTTTCCAGCACTTAGTTTGGATCAATACCTTTCCGTATTATTAATAGTAAACTGCCTCAAAAACATGCCGCACCTTTAATGAAAGAATTTCAGGTTCATATAATAGCATTCAACATTTTTCCGAAAAGATTTCTGACATGAAAAAAACTATGCCACAATATCCAATAGGATTAAAAAAATACCCCTCAAAAGTCAAAACTGTATAAATTCAAAATCAATTCGGAAAATTCTCTTTGCTTAAACTGATGAAGTTGAGGTCCAGTATAAAAGCTTAATTTAATGTACAACACGTATATCACTTTCATCCAACAAACTATCCAAGGTTAACTATGTGTAATTATGGACCAGGGGCACCAAACTTTTGTAGAGCAGAGAGTACAACACTCTACAGTCCTAATCTCTATTCAGTTAAAACCAAAACGCTACACTATTGCTGGGAGCTCGGCGGGAGGCCAGCCGGATACTGTGGCTGAACAAAGAAACCACCGTCCGATCCCTGAAACTGGAAAGGATTCATAGGGCCTGGATACGGAGGAATGCCAACCACTGGAAAACCTGGCATAGGCGGCACTGGTGGTGGTCCATAGGTAAACGGAGTCACCAGCGGAAGTGTAGGTGAAAGCATCGGCTGAGGCAAGAAACAAGGCACACTTCCAAGGTTCCCATTATTGAGCCTCGGCCTCTTGCTAGCATCAGGATGATCCTCCTCGCTCGTGGGCTGGCCAATGACACCGTCTGATACCAGAGAGGAGAGCACATAGCTGATGCTCTGTCCTGAGGCATTGGATGCCACTGTCTGCTGCTCTCCATTTGTCGGCAGCGATTTTTCTACCGTTGGGTTGGTTGGAGATTCTGGAGGGAAATCAGGAGGCGGAGGAGCTTCAGAGTAGGCTGAAGCAGGTGGAGGCGGTGGTATTTCGTCAATATTTTGGCAAGGAAGCGGCAAAGCTGGCGCCTGTCCAAGCAAGAGGCTTCCAACTTGATCATAGCGCACTTGGGCAACCTATTGAGAGGATAAAAAGAAGCATTAAAAGAGAGTAGATAAAAAAGGAAACATCTAACATATAGGCAATAAAATGGAACATAGTTAATTCACAAATATATTTGCATATGGAGTAACGAACTCGGACAGAACAGAAAGTTAAATACAAGAATGAATAACAGTTTCAGCACTCCTGAAAATAACCCAAAGAAAATTCTCAAAAGATAAAAAACTGCTCCTGCCAGTGCCCGTTAATGCCTAATGGCTAATGCAGATGTCTTCCATGATTCTTTCCTCAGAAATGCTGGTGGTTAATTCTTAAGTTCATAGGAGTTGGCTCAGGTTCCATCAAGACCAGTGCTCATACAATATAATCAAATGTTTTTATATCCTTGTCAAATGTATATCTTTGTCAAATGTGCAAAATGCAGTGCTCAAGACTATTTGTGGTTGCATAAGAGACCTCCCATCCTCGCATCATGTTTGGTAGCCTCAATAAAGTGGACATTGAGGCACAAGGAAAATAGTTGAATGGTGAATCAGACTGTTAAAAAATCATTACATGAAAATGCATGCTTCAACATCTGAACGAAATATTAACAATAAGATTGAAAGTGCCATCTCTTCCCCTAGTAGATGGGGACATCTAGGAAAAAGGAAATGCAGCATAGATCCTTAATGAATATGCAGCATCAGCAATACAATTAAGACTTGAGAGAACTTTACTATACATAGGGAACAATTTTTTTTCCTTTTGAAACTTTCTGATCTATGGTGTAACTCTCAAGGAAGATTTTTCGTTTCTAGGTAGAAGAATGAAAAAGAAAATAAAAACAAATGGGCTAAAAAATAAATCAAAGTTTAATTAATGAAAATGAAATGAAATATTCCATTTCCATTGGATAAAATGCCTACAGATTTCTAGGTCATTCTACTCAATGTATTTGAGTGGTGAAGCTGAAACTTAAAAAGGCAAAACTGAAATTTCAAAAAATTGCCTAAATACCAATGTTTGAAAAAACTTTTTTCAAACTCGCTTCAAAACTCGCTTCAAACTTTTTGAAGGGTAAAGCGAAGCTAATTTATCTCTTGAAGATTACGCCTTATCGCTTAAAGCATAATGGAAGTGTGCGCTTCACACTTCATAAAACGCTTCTCTTTTGAAGGCGCACACTTTGTTAGCCATTAAAGTGCCTCTATGTAACTTCAGTATGTCCAGGTGAGTATAAATAATATATATATGTTATGCATGTAGCTTAGTTTATTGTGATTTGCATATTTAATACTTACTTACTAATTAGGACATGAATGTATCTATTTGTAAATTGCTATACCACTATATATTATATGTTTATAATTTATACAAATTTTAAAACTAAAACGCTTAAACTCATGAGGCTTACGCCTCACGCTTTGAAGCCTACGCATTGCTTCATTAAAGGGTCTAACGCATCACCTTACACTTCTGCTTTTTTAAACATTGCTAAATACCAACAATCTGAAGATGAAATTTCAATAAGACAGAAACTAATTGATGCCAAGTCTCAATGAGAATCTAAAGATTTTAAACGTTTCATTGAAGGAAAAATAACAAAAGATGCTCCGTGTGAGTTGATCGAACGCGGGGTTCCCCCTGGGTGACCCACTAACAGTCCAGGGTTCCCTAGTAAAAAAAAAAAAAAGCGAAAGATGATTACTTTACTAGTTAGCCATTTCATAGCTCTATTAGGCAATGTTAACTTACGGGCTACACAAATCCTTTTTAGATACCTAATCATTAAGAAGATGTGTCCACAACGCATCCAATAACCATGTATTATATACCCAAAATAGAATGTCAAGTCATTACACTAATATTACAACTTCCAGTGGACCTAAAAAATACAAATACACAAAAGGGTTAATTTTAGAAAACCCCTCTCAACTATGGGGGTCCTCTCAGAAAACTCCCTTCAACTATTTTAACTCTAGAAACTAAGGACCCTCAACTGCCAAAATATGATTTATCCCCCCTCATTTTTTCTCATTTAACCCCCTAAACTAATAAAATTTAAAATCAAAGGATTAAATGATTTAAAATGACCATACTATCCCTTAGACATTAAATTTTTTACCATAGTGTTCCTTTTTAACTTTTTTGGTTAAAAATATTTCTCATTTTATCCTCCCACTTATTATTCCTCCATCTTCATTACTAGGTTCACGTGCAAATCTAATTGTTTTCCTTCTTTGAAACACAACTTTTTTTATTTTATGCTTATCCATACTTGTAATGTCTGAAACAATTGAAACACTAAACTTTTTTCATTTTATGCTTATCCATACTTGTAATGTCTGAAACAATTGAAACACTAAACTTTTTTTATTTTATGCTAATCCATACTTGTAATGTCTGAAACAATTGAAACTTTTAAACTTCTTTGAGATTAGTTTCCGCATCAAAACCTATCAAACCGAAGTCTAATATTTTGATTGCGTTGGGTTTTAAGCCCACATAAATTTTTTTCAAAGGGTATTTTACTCATTGCACAATTCAAATTAATAATATTAGGGGGGTTATTTGAAAGAAGTAGAAAGATAAAAGGGGTTTTGTGAGACACCCCATACTTAAGGGGGGTTTAGAAATATCTTGAAAGTTGAGGGGGTTATCTACAACACCCTCAAATTTGAGGGGGCTTTTATAAAGATAATATAGCCAAGGGGCGTTAATCAGAGACAAGCCCCATAGTTGAGGGGGGTTTTCTAAGATTAACCCATAAACAAAACTATACACAGACCAGATTACCTCATGAAATAAATAAAATGCTCTAACTGATGCAGGCCAAGAAATATGTCCTTCACCTTAGAGATCAGTACGTAAGAACCAATACATGATTTATGAGAAACAGTTTTTTCTTTTTCCCCCTTTTCATTTCATTTTTGTTTTTTTGGTAAACAGAAAGTAAGATAAAAGGGGTTTTGTGAGACATTCCATATTTAAGGGGGGTTTAGTCATATCTTGAAAGTTGAGGGGGTTATCTACAACACCCTCAAATTTGAGGGGGCTTTTCTAAAGATAATATAGCCAAGGGGCGTTTTTCTGAGACAAGCCCCATAATTGAGGGGGTTTTTCTAAAATTAACCCGTAAACAAAACTATACACAGACCAGATTACCTCATCAAATAAATAAAATGCTCTAACTGATGCAGGCCAAGACATAAGTCCTTCACCTTAGAGATCAGTAAGTAAGAACCAATACATGATTTATGACAAACAGTTTTTTTCCTTTTCCCCCCTTTTCATTTCTTTTTTGTTTTTTTTGGTAAACAGAAAAAACAAAGAACTGTTGGGACTTAAATGTGCATTTAGCTGTCTTGCTATGTGAGGAAAAAGGCAAGTTAAGATGACTTACTGACCTTACGGTCATCCTTGAAGATGTAAGCTCAATAAAGTAATAAACTCTAAGACAATATGGAAATTGTTTAAATCTTTTCAGAGTAGTCGGCTTTGGGATATGAAATCTCTGTTTCTATAATACATGCAGATTTTACTGGGTTGCTCATGTCTGTAGCTTCACCAAAAATGAACTCTTCATACTTTTTATATAATTTGCAACTTTTTAGTATAAAAAGATAACACGTGTAGGTCCAACAACTAGTGACCCCTTCTAGAAGACCTGACAGTTCTTCATCTCATAAATGTGAAAAACATATCAATCACGTTCATGCTGAAAAACATGAAGTAACTTATAGTTTCCGAAGAATTATTTGCCCCAAAAAATAGTTTAATGCATATATTGGACAAATGCTAAAAAATTGAACGTGGATATGCCAAAAGATGCCAACCAGAAAATACATTGCAGACTAAAACAACAGATTATATGCATTAACTTAACTCGGGCTTTACACTGTCAAGCATCTCCATCCAGACACATAAATACATTTACAGTAGAAAAAGGTACCTGAAGTTGCGTTCGCAGTTCTTCAATCTTGAACTCCTGGAAAGTAATATGATCACCCAGATTAGAAATGTAGATAGATAGTTGAAAAATTGACACCACAGCTTACCCACCTGCTCATTAAGTGCTTCTCGTAAATGGGACACCAATGTTGTTCTAGATGATTCAGCTGCTTTCATTTGTTCTATGCATTCTTTCAGTAGGGCTTGCTGCGCTAACAACTCGTCTGCAACTCCAGATTCGTTGATGTTACCTATTCACCCATTCGTTCAAATTCCAACGAGAAATAAGTAATTGGCATGCTGAAATTGCAGTCATATCATGGAGAAATTAAAAAAAATATGCTTGGTCTTGACTAGATGCAAAACATAATAACTGGCTTGAAACTACTCCACAAGAAGAGAGGATTCGGGTTCACACTATATCAAATTTGTCCATTACGATTGTAAAAAGAAAGTTCAGTTGAAGTGATTGTTTCTGTTGTTCTATGGGTAAGTAATAGATGACTAGTGGTGAATGTGGCAATAGTACATATGACTGGGCATTAATCGGTTTGAACTGATTAAACCAACTGAACCAACCAAATTTCAACGGTTTGGTTTGGTTTAGAATATGTTTTGGTCTGTTCGGTGTCAGAGCATTATTGCAGTTTCTTTGAAATGCGAGGGCATTTTTTGTAGCTTTTTCCAAGTGCGAGAGAATTTCCATAGTTTTTCCCTAAGTGTGAGGGCATTTCGAATATAAAAAAAAGTGACGTACAAACCAAAAGTGGGCCTTTTCTTAAATATATAAGTATTAGATTAGATAGTATTAGATAATGCACGACAGTATCAATAAAAAACTCCATTGGTCAAAAGTTGTCAGTCATGATCGATGCTAATGCCCATTGTAACTTCTTTGATTACAACTCCCTTACAGCAGTAGCATAACATTGAAATAATTTTTATAAAATTAAACATTATATTAAGAATAGGTATTATTTTTAAAGTTACCTCATGCCTGCGCATGTTTCTAATTAGAACTCCTTTGATTTACATGAACCAGCTAAGTCAGCTTTATGCTATGGCTTCTCACTTGACACAAGCATCTCTAAGTTGTTTGCTGAAGTGCGTGAATCAAAGGGGATGAAATTATTTATCAAAGTGATGATCGGATAGCTGCGCAAATGATGGCCTTAGGGCTCCAAAGTAATGTATATAAAAACACAACCCGACAATGAAAAAAGCAAGAAACTTAATTTACTTGATATTTGAGACACCATATTAATGTGATAAAAATATGATACAAAAGAAAAATGCGCATAATGTGTCCTCAAATTTGGCACAAATAGATCTAAAGTCTCTAGACATCCACATCCATTTAACAATGACAAAATCCAAAATATCAACTTCCTTTTAAAGTAAAATTATTATATCAACAAAAATAGAAGGTATTGCAAAGCATCTTGCATTATAAGAACATATGACCTTGCCATAAAAGATGGATTCTGAATATACCTAAGTCATTTCCCATTTCCTTTTCAACCTTTTCGACTGAGCTAATAGCTGTGCTACATTTTCCAAATAACGTATCTTCATCACAACCATTATAAACATCATGATAACTTGAAGTAAGCTTTTCAAGCATATGTCCAGATGGTTGTTTCTGAAAATGTCCACAAGCAAAACATATAAAACTTTAGCTGAAAAAGTGGTAACCACAGAAATAGATTCGCACAAGGCAGACATTTACATAAAGTTCTCGTCTCTTACCAGTTTGTAACTGATATTCTTTCCATTTCTGTTCCTTCCCAAAAAGTCTTCCTTTAAAGTCTGCCCACGAAGACTAAAGACTTTACGTTCTTCCCATATATCAACCTGGAGGGGAAACAAAAAATATACAAAATCATAATCTAATATAATATATGTGACACATGCTTAAAAGGAAGAGAAAAGAACAATGGTCCCTTTCTAGATACAAAAAAGAAACAAGAACACCACAATGAATTAATGTACCTAACACGCATATACAAAATTAACTTCAATTGTTTGCATGAACCTTTCCCTGAATTAAGGAACCCTTGCAAGCTTACACTGAGCAGAAGTTATAAAGTAATCAACAAAAGAAACCGATCAGCATACCCTTCCCAACAAATCAAACAGCTATTGCAGTTGAAGTAATAGAAGTCTTGTGTATGCCACCATATGCCAAGATTTAAGTTATGCAGTAGTTGCAGATTTAAATCATGTGGTATGTCCTGTAACTTAAAGTAGCTTGCTTCTCATCTCTACCCTAATATGGGGAAAAACATTTCATAGGAAATGTAATTATTGGACAAGCATAGGCACAATGCATGTAAAGGGCACTTGCATATAACAAATGACAAATATGCGGAGCAGACCAGGCAAATATAATTATTAGATAAGCAAGGGTAATTGTGCACACACATGACTATGTACATTCGAATGCCCTAGGATATGAATTATGCAACTATGTTATGCACAAAAAAAGAACAATGTCAGAGCACTAAGCATACCAATCTCAGCGCAGTTTTCCTCCCAAACTCACCGCCATTCTCAATTGCATCACTTAGTGCATCAGGAAGAACTTTATAAAATTCCCCAACAAATTCCATACCCTTCCGCCGACTATTCTGCAAAATATCATTTGCAAGATAAAGAAAAGACACTCGTTGGTCTTTTGGAGAACAATAGAATTGTCGTTCCCACGTCTCCACAACTTGTTTTGCATTCTTTCTATGGAAGATACACCAATGTGATAAAGCTTAATTGTGTTAAGTATGCCACAGAAGATCAGCATGAGCAAAGAACAAGATACAAGATTAGACGACCTAATTGCACATTCAGAGTTTACAAGCTACTCCGAACCTAACCAGATTATAAAACTAAAAAATTTGAATCCTTCCATGACCATAAAATTATAGAACCAAATCAGCTAAAAAGAGAAGGGGTATTCCACGATTTGCACTGTGACAGAAGTGATCTAGTTTCTTCTAAAATATAAGACACCAAGTACTGTAATTGTAAAGTATAAATCATGGAGCATTTTGTATCATGTCCCATGAGAAATATCATAAAACGATTTCCACAGCTGTAGGTAGGCCTTCGTGAAGGAAGCTAATGTAATCCAATCAGAAAGGGAAGCATACATACATAAAAGTTTCAGAACACCAATGCTCAAAAGGAAACCATACTAAAAATACGGCTTCCATGCTGCCAAAAGATAAAAATAAAATAAAAATACTACAGCCTATTTTTAAATGAGATTTCAAAGTACATACTCTAATCAGCCACAAATGCACTTAACAGTAGTTTAGTAAGTGCATCTAGTTCAATTTCTTGTATTACCTTTCCATCGCTTCACTCACACTCAACAATAATAAACTGCCTTCTATGTGTATATAGAACTATATCTAAAAAACCCTTCTTAATAAGTATCACCTAACCTCACTACTTATTGACAACACAAATTCAAAGAGCATATGCCTAAGGTTTGAAGTTGCTCTAAAGAAAGAGGATCTTGAGGAAGTTGCTCTAGAGAAAGAGGATCTTGAGGAAGAATGCCAAATTATTGCAGAAAAAAGTAAAAACACGCTAAACTTATAGAAATATGTTAAACAGTATAAACTGCTTGTTATACGGAACAAACTAAGCGGCCAGACAACAAAGTGAGAGAACTGAAAGAATATTGTAAAATATTTTTCTTATCAAATGCTAAGGTGAAATATTCATTAGACAATTTAACAAATGATAATAGACAAGCTACTTACCATTGTGCACTGTAACACCATATTATGTCTCACCTAAATCCCTCTTCCAATTTGTCCAGGAACAACATCAGAGTCATCTAAAAGCAACAAGACACTTCCCTCGTAAATCAAATTGCACAATGCATTGTGATGATTCTATAGCAACATAGGTGATCATAATCCAATGGTGAAAAAGCACAAAGCAAAGTAAAGTTAATTGAAAACATGTTTAGACTTCTGCAAAACAGTCCTATAAACCAGTAAATGTATACTTTATCTTGCTAAACGAGACCAGTTACTAAGCACAAAGCTAACTATATGACTACTAGCAGAAAATTGGTGGAAAGATAATCTAGTTCATCTACTAGTCAACTTACATGGAACCATTGAAACCATCGGATGTCCAATACCAATAGTATGGGCTAGGAATAGCAAATAAGCACAGTCCACCAAAAAGGAAAAAAGAGAAGGAAATCTCAACAGTAGTAACCTTATATGCATGGAATTGCAAAATAACTTTATCAATTATAAATTCTCACAGTGAAAATCAGAAACAGCATAAGCAAAATAATAGGCAAAGATGGCCAAATGCCATTAAAATATCCTACAAAAAAACTTCAAGAAGAAGCATAGGATTCATTCCCATGTTAACTTATATAGTGAAGAGCAGAAAGGATACTCTCAATGCTCTGTTGTGTACTGTTAAGTTTAGCAAGTTTATCAACCAAAATATGTGAATTAAAAGTCCCCTCTCCATTCATTTTTATCTTTTCTTGGCTTGAAGCTCCGCAAACCCACACTAAACGAACCTACAATGAAAGATAAGAAAGAGAAGTTAGAGAGCTTTAGTAATCTAAGATGGTAGAAGTACAAGGAAGTTCAACTGAAGAGCTGTTAATGAAACCGAAGTGTGGATATATATTGGAATAATTTTTTTTAAGAAAATGAAGCATCTTAGACATAATCAATATGAATAGTCACTCTATGCTATTTCCTTTAAAAAGCACATGCAACCTGTGAACAACTTCCATTACATAAAATCTTTCAACTAATGACCAAGTCAGAGACAAGATTATTGTGCGCGCGCACGTGTATATTTGTTTGTTTCTCTTCATGTTGTGTATGTACAAAGACTGAAAACTCCATAAACGTTTCTGTACAAGCAAAAAGAAACAAATGATACATATTCGCATCTAATATGTTCTTATTATTTAAGGAATCAAAATAATCATATGTGATGCGAGAGCAGCTGTGAAAGCCTAAACCAAAAGAAGAGCAACATAACGTGACTGTTTCTGTTAAAAAAATATTAAAGACAAATCACTATTTAATTCTACACTGGACTTGATGCCTTCATACAAACATGCCATGAATTACACAGGATACCATTATATACTTCAATGCCATGAGGAGGGGATGTTGGTGTCAGGGATTGGATGTTGGCCATGATAAAAGAAAAGAAAGAAAAAAAATCTCAGAAAGCTTTCGGGCAAAATAAAACACACATGTACATAAATATGTTCCATAGTCAAACGTAATACGAGTTCTCCTAAAATGATAGTTCTTTCATCCATTCCCTCTACTCTGATTAAAGAACCACAGCCATCTTCAAGGTGTTAAGAATTCTCTGTTTTCTAACCACAGTCATCTTCAAGGTGTTAAAAATTCTTTAAAGCAAATGCCATCCCCAAGGATGAACGCAAATTAAACGATTACAAAAGGATTAGTTTGTCCCAAAATAGATAAAAAAGGACTCATAACTTCAGGGGTTCAAATATTAACTATGACCTAGGCAGAACTGTAAATTGGTTATATTAAGCAAAAGTTAAATGTAATCACGTAATGACCATTCACAAGCTCCAAGTAATAGTCATAAACCCATTGGATTCAGTTTCCTCCTTAAAAAACATATGCTTTCGCACTTTCTTCTCAATTTACAACAAAGAGCTGGTCATTATAGGCATCAAGGAATCAACGTTCGACTAAAAAAAATCTAAACTTTATATCTCTTCCCTCCCAGTAACCAACCGGAACAAATTCACAGCATAGAATTGAGTACAAAATAAAACCTATAGCTCCGCTCAGTCAAGAACCAAACTTTCTTAAAAAAATCAAAAGAATCAATCAAATTACTTGGGGAATTTTACCTCCCAATCGTAATGTAGCTAAGCAAGAAGCGAATTCGATCCGACCATCGTCCTCCTGCTCCCTCGAGAGAAAACTAGGGTTTGGGTTCTTCTTCCAAACTTCTATCTACAAATTTCGATTCTTTGAACGCCGAATCGATGTCAAATTCAGGGGGCAAGATTGAGGATCTACTGAAAGATTCGGTCACTGGGGTTTTTTTTTTGGAAATAAATAGAGGAGGGGGAGAGCGGGCGAAGAGAGAGAAAGAGAGAGTTCTAGAGAGAGAAGGGTTTTCTTTTCGTTCCCTTTTCTATTTGTTGCGCAGAGAACGGGGTTTTGGAGGATATTTCTTTCCTAAAATACCCCTCTAACTTTGTTCTTTTGCACAGTCAGAAGGGGTATTTTCGGAAAAGTTTTGCGTATACACCTCCAACTGGTTCTTTAGGGATTTATCCCTCAGATCTACATATTTG